GAGGAGGGGATTGAGGGGCAGAGCAGCGAAGCAACACAAACCAAGAAGGAACTCAGTTTTTGGACCCGCTGAAATAGGCAGAAAATCTGAACTTTGGTAATTTTATTGCTCAGTAGCCAAGAGAATATCGCACCGTAACATTCCCAAGAAATATGCCCCCAATTTGTCACTCTGCTGGCATCTAGTCTGTGTTTTGAGCCATGGAGAAAATTTATTTCTAGTAGAAACTCTTTGTAGATCATAATATTGATGCCATCATTTGAGATGTGATGATTGTACAATGAAGCAACTAGATATACTTCCTCAGTTCAACTGACTCCTGTAGTAGATCTGAGTGAAAGTGGTAAGAGGCTCTACATTTGCTTGGATCAGCTAAAAATATCTTGTTTTGATACCAAATCTGGGGCGTTGGGACTAGCTGATTTCCACAAGGACTTCATTGAGTTTATATCTAAAGATCAATATTGCAAGGATCCATATCTTCCATATCAAGCTGAAAACCTTGCCAAGCAGTCTTTGAAAACACATTTGAGATTGATGACTCATTGCGTTAGTAGCTGGAGGTGTTGAAGTGTACCTGCTCAGTAGGACAGTAGGAGTTCAATCCGGTCACCAGCCTGCTAAGATGATCTCATGAAACACTGAGCATCAGCAGCTATTTTTGTATTCATGCAAAACTGAATAAATAAATAAATGTAAAAAACAAAAAAACAAATGTATTTTTCAAGAAAAATGTGCGGTTCATTCGTGGACTTACTAGAACAGTATATAATAGTATATATATATATATAGTATATATTGAAATACAGAGCACTGGCTTATTGTTATGTGGTAAGTAACTGTAAAATCTTTAATGATTATCTAAATATTTATTCATTTTGTTGTTTTAATCAGTGCTGGAAATGGGCCAGTACTCACCAGTACTGAGTACCGGCACTCTTGATTTTTGTCCACATGAGTACCACCACCTCTGGTGAGCATGGCTGTACCCACAATTGAGGTCACTGGTATTTTTAACAAGAGGTATACACTAAAAGTAATGAATCGTCTAAAAATAACTACTTTGATGCTTTGATGCATGCCCCAACCTCCCCCCAACAAGACCTCTGTATTTCTAAAATCCTGCGTACTGGTGAGGTACTCCTAAACAATTGGCTCTCTGTGCAAACACGGGTTAGGGTTGTGTTTAGGGGTAGGGTTGAGCTGAATTGGGGTACTGGCCCCTGTTTTGGTCCAGTTCTTTCACTGGTTTTCATTGTTTATTTTGCTTTATTGTATTCTTACACATCTTACTGGTTTTCTTCGAAAAGTTTCCCTTTTGCAGGACTGATCACGCACATTCACATTTTGAACCTGCTCAGTACAAACCCAGTCTGATTTGATGGCTCCACTGGAGAAGGAGGAATTAAGCCTCTAGCTCAAGGGTAACAAAACATGAAAGAAAAAGTGTCTGTGTGTAGTTCATAACACAGTATAGTGACATTTACAACAAAGGGGTAGTGAATAGGTATACTGTACACTGAAAGTACTCTGAGTCCTACAGAAAACACATTACTGTATGGGATTGGTTTGATTTGGATATGATGGATATGAAGTATTTTAGTCACTATGGACACCAGAGCTGAATGTGCAGACAAATATGAAATAAACAACATACTGATATAACTGATGACTGCTGCGTGATGTCACGGTCCTCATTATAGGCTCCCTCTCTCTGCTCTCCTCGGAAAGCTCTTATGCAAACCAGGCGCGCGTACACACACACACACACACACACACACACACACACACACACACACACACACACACACACACACACACAGAAATACAACCCTTCCAGCTTGCCTTCAACCTATCTAATCACACAGTGACTCACTATACTTGATGGCTCCCTATTGGCAGCACTGATGTGTTTCAAAACAAATACGCAGAATGCTATCAGCGATGTCTTTTCCATGACACCTGTAATCACTTAAATAGCATATTCCAACTGTCAAACTCCATATTCTGCCATAGTCTCTTCCCTCTGATTGGGTTTATGTTACATATTGTGGTTTCTCACAGAATTTGTCTACTTTTTACATTCAAAGTTGCAGCCTGACGAAACTTTTGAAAATTATAAATAGCTGACCAAGTTTAAATAAAAAATAATAATCTTCCAAGTTTGGGGGATAGCTGAGGCTTACATAGAAAATCATTTTGGTAAATACTCTCTGAGTCAACTGAATTTATGCATTGAATGTCTGCCTGCTGTACTTGCAGATTTCCCATCTAAGGCCTGGCATCATTCAGTGTGGCTGTAATGAGAGATGGAAGTAGTATGCTGTTTATTTCAACCATCTGTGACTGGCCTGAAAATTCCCTTTAACAGTTTTCCTTGCTCTGCACAGGAAGAAAATGACTGTGCTGTGAGTTGATCTGTGACAAGGAAGTAAAGTGGTTGTGATATTACTTGGAGTTGAAGAAGTGGATTTCTTTTGCAAGTGAAAAATTAAAACTCTCTCTGATATTGTGTGTCTCTTGGAAGAACGATCAATTATGAATGTTGCTGCTGTGCTTCTGGAGTAAATATTTCATCATATATTTTGTATTGACTAATATGAAACTGAAATGAATTTTCAGCAAAAGAAAAAACAACCAATAAATTACACCAGATGTCACAGCCTGTTTCATGTAAATTGTCTCTTTTTAGTTCTGGGATAATCTGTCACTGGCTGAATAAATGGGAATTTTAAAAACATAATTTCTTAAAAGTCTTTTCTAGAATTTCGCTCTTACATAACCACTAACTACGATGTTGATATATTTGGAAAAGCATGCATAGAACAAAAACCATGAAGGAATGTGTCGCCTGCTTTGGTGATGGTCCTGCTGTGTGTTTTGCACGCTTTTATGCCATTAACTCAAGTGCTCTTTGGGGACAGAGAAAGCTGAGTTGAAATGAATTATGTCAGCCCAAACAGCTTTAACTCCTTACAGGTGGTCAATCATCTGGTTTTTAAATAGCAGCGCAGCAGGGAGAGGTATAGTGGCTACATGCATTTATGATGAAGCTCCCAGCATGGCCTACTTCTGGGTGACTGCTCAGGTCCCAGCCAGGCACACCTCCTCACTCTCTCTCTGTCTCTTATTCAATTTGTTTTATATCACTTACTCTCTTGTCCCATTTATCGCCTGTAGACACCACAGAGCTCTCTCTGAATGGATAGATGGACTTGACGCTGATTGACGCAGACTTTACAAATTCAATACAGTGCATGCTGCGTACTGTATTTAATGGTGTAGTCATTTGCGAGTTAGTGTGCAAGAATTTACTATATGTATTGTGCATTATGATGCGTGTGTTGGTGGGTGTCATACTGAGCTGCAACTTTTAAAGTTGAAAGTGTCACCAATAGCAACTAAGAGAATGTTTTTCCTGCCTTTTTATGTTTCTCTGAAACATGACATTCCAGATAAGATTCTAGGAGGCATATTTGGATTTTGTCTTTTTTGGGGGGTTAAATGTATCCAGTGTGACAATATTCACATTAAAAATGCGGTTAGAATTAGTATTACAGAAAGTACAAACTTGGGACCGAAGTGAGGAGTTTTTTATAATTCAGGCTGCATACAGGCAGAGCTGCTTGAGAGGCTACACAGGAGTTGTGATCTTGCTTGCTGATTTACCAGTAGCCTACAAGTGATGCAAAATATTGATGAAGTGCCTCTGAGCAAGAACAACAAATTTCTACTGATTCCTGTACTTATGCAAAGCAAGTGACTGCCTCGATGTAATTCTAATTTTAAAGCAGTGGCATCACATCTTCAGAGGTAGAACACATATAGTGAAGGAATGCTGAAAAAGACAGTTTTGCTCGAGGAAAGGTTGGTTAAGAGTGGACGGATGAAAGCCAAAGGAAAATATAAGAAGCATATGCGTAGAAGGCTGTAATAAGAACACTGGTTGGTACGAATACACTTTCTGAAATACAGCAGACTTTGTATATTTTATAAATTACTACACTATTTGCATGTAATACAACCCTGATTTGGCCCTGCAGCTGGAGCATGTGCAGATGGTGTGTGTGATTATACTGGGCACTGGTTGTCTTGTTTTTGATTGATTCTACAGTAATGTATCCTGTACCTGGTACGTCAAGATCATCATTACTTTTGTCTAATGATCTAAATGAGTGTTTATTTTTATTTTTGGATGTGAAGGATGCTTAAGCAGGGGGAAAAAAATCACTCTTAGTTCCATGGAACAATTAATTGAAAAATCATATAATGTTTTTAATTGTTCTCATTCTAGCTACAATGCAAATTAAACGCCAACACTTGAACACACACATACACACAATCTCTCTCTCTCTCTCTCTCTCCACACACACACACACACACACACACACACACACACACGTATGACGACTGTATGAGAATTAACGCACCATTTCTATCGCTGTTCTGTGTGAGGATCTGTCCATGGTGCTAAAAGAAGTCTAGGCTTGTTGCAATACAAACAGGGGGAGGCGCTGTTGCTCATCTTACAAAGCCCAAAACAAAATCTCACATAATGTAACAACTCACTGGCAGTTAGAGCTATTTATCTGGGTCTTGAAGATAGCATTGTCATGAAGAGATTCCAGAAAGACAACAAACATGTTGCTATCCAAATGTAAAACTGGGAATAAGGCACAGTTTGTACCGTGGAAACCAACCATGTATCTTACAATTATGTGTTTAAACTACAAAGTCATGCACGTTGTTCAAGCAGTGGGTCCAATTCAACCCTTGAGATGGATGCAGCAATTCTACGAGCATGCACTGAAACCGTTGTGAAAGTCTAAAACTTATTTTTTTTTAAACAGGGGCATGCGGCTTTTGCAGCCCCATAAGCCTTCAGTAGCCTGTGTGTGTGTGTGTGTGTGTGTGTGTGTGTGTGTGCGTGTGGAAGACGGGGGAGCAGCCATGAAGACACCACCCAGCTCTGTAGGGAAGGGAGGCGGTACGAGAGTGTGGAAAGGAGAGGGGGGTGGGGGGTTGATGAGATGCTCGTTTCAGCACCGCGGACAGCTCCAGCAGCAGCGGGTCGCTTTTCTCCGCTGCTCTGGGAAAAAAAACATCCAGACTGAGATTATTATTTATTTTACATCTCTCGAAGACAGCAAATAAGATGTGTTTTTTCTAAGGCGGGGTTTTTGTGTTTAATTCAGTCCGGAACATGCGACATATTTGTAGTGGCAGGCTTACAGACAAAACCACAGGACTCCCGAGGATTGCTTGTGCAATCTCTGCGAAGTTTTTCGCCACTGAAAGGCATTCAGCCTCCTCCTCCTCCTCCTCCTCCTCCCGCTGGTCTGCACAGCCTGCAAAAATCTGAAGGTGTTCAGGGAGAAAGTTGAAGAGAAAACTAAAGTGACAACACCGTTTCAGCACCTTCTTCTGTTTGGACTATATCCTAAAATAAGTTGTGGACTTGTGGTTGTGGGCAGAAGGATTTCTATTTGTTGGATAAAACTCCAAGAAGCGAAAAGGCGAGCAAGACAAGTTTATTTTCCATTCGGTGCTAAAGGCTTCTTCTTCCAGCCTCGAACCACCCCCTCTTCCCTCCCCTCCACCACCACCCCCTGTAATGGTCTTACATTAGCCACTGATGCAAGCCTTTTATGCGCCCGGATACATTTCTCCTCTCCCGCAGCACTGATTCTTTCCATCTCAGTCTTTTTTTGTAAATGTAATATTCACAGAGGGACGCCCCGGACTGCTATCCCCCCCCCCCCCCCCCTTACCCGCTTTCACATTTTCGACAACTGCTAAAGACTGGTAGGTGATAACGACCATGGATCGATGAAAAATGCTCATCCACGTTGTTGTGAGATGAAGTTGGAGCCCCCTGCGTAAACGCAGAATAACCGATGACACAGCTTAGCAACTTTTGACACTGATCATCGTTTTTTTTTCTTTCTTTCTTTCTTTTTCGAGACTTGCTGTAGAAATAGGTGTGTAGCCTGTGTGTAGCTGTTTCATGACGGAAACGATGGCGCTGAGTGGTAACTGTAGGACTAACCCCAAAGAGCAAGCATCAGTTCAGAACAGTTTCCCAGATGTGGTTGAATTAAACGTAGGGGGGCAGGTATACTACACGCGTCACTCAACTTTGGTGAGCACCCCGAGTTCATTACTCGGTAAGCTATTCTCTTCTAAAAAAGACGCATCAAATGATTTGGCGAGAGACCCGAAGGGCCGGTATTTCATCGACAGAGACGGGTTTTTGTTCCGGTATGTGTTGGACTACCTCCGAGACAAGCAAGTCGTCCTCCCGGATCACTTCCCGGAGAAAGGGAGGCTCAGGAAAGAGGCGGAATACTTCCAGCTGCCCGATTTAGTGAAGCTCCTGACCCCAGATGATCTGAAGCACAGCCCGGACGACTACTTCCACAGCGACTATGAAGACGGGTCCCAGGGCAGCGACCACCGGCAGTGTCCGCCGCCGTCCCTCGTCCCCGCGGACAGAAAGAGCGGCTTCATCACGGTTGGATACCGGGGGTCGTGCACCATGGGCCGAGAGAGTCAGACCGACGCAAAGTTCAGGAGGGTACCTCGGATACTGATATGCGGGCGGGTGGCCCTCGCCAAAGAAGTTTTCGAGGAGACCCTGAACGAGAGCCGGGACCCGGACAGGACCCCGGATCGTTACACCTCCCGGTTTTACCTCAAATTCAAGCACCTGGAGAGGGCTTTTGACATGCTGTCGGAGTGTGGTTTCCAAATGGTGGCCTGCAACTCGTCGGTCACAGCCTCGTTTGTCAACCAGCACACAGAGGACAAGATCTGGTCCAGCTACACAGAATACGTATTCTACCGTAAGTGACAACGCCCCCCTTTTTTAAAACTTTTTTTTTTTTTTTTACAGCAGGTCAACTTCACGTGAACACGCACACGCACGCACACGCGCACGCACACGCACATAAAGTTGGAGTTACCGCTAGAAGGCGCACTTGGTTTACTCCTCCTGTGTGTGTGTCTGTGTGTGTGTGTGTGTGTGTGTGTGTGTGTGTGTGTGTGTGAGAGAGAGAGAGAGAGAGAGAGAGAGAGAGAGAGAGAGAGAGAGAGAGAGACATCTGGTTATTGGGATGGATGGACCACCCATCTTTTGAATGATGTGGGTGTGGTGTTCAGAGCTGCTTCCACCTGTTTCCATTACATATAGTTCCGGAAAAAATCCCACTTGGACAGGGTTAAACAGGGTTAGACATGGTACACACAGAGACTACAAAGCTGCACTGTAGGAGTTCAACTTGTCCCCGAGTAACCGGCATCACCTCATGCAAGCACAGAGTCAAACTGATACGCTCTGTTAATGTCTGAAGTTTTGTCCGAGCCCTGTGGAACAAAACCAATTAGAGATCACTCCTGGTAATTGGAGGTTAATCCAAGGTGTTGCCGTCTCTCCCTGGAAGCAATGCAACCTTAGCAGCAAACACACAACTGACAATCTAGTTCACATTTTAATCTAAGCGTGTTCAAGCCTATTACAGCATGTTGCAGCATTCAGTGCAATCTTGCAGGCTAGTTTTATATTTCACAAGATTTAGCCAGATTTGAATAATTTCACTCCCATCTGAGCCACGGCAGTCGTCAGAGCAATGATTTGTCAATGCTTGCCATTTCTCATCTTGGTGCAATTTTCTACTCCACCTCCTCTCAGCTTTCATCCATCCCATCCTTTCAACTTCTTGCTTTTCCTTCTGGCTCTCCCATTGCTTTCCTTAGATTGCTCCATCTTTGCTGTTCACTGGCTGGTGTGAATCTGGCAAGAGTGGATGTGAAGGAGATCATCATCATCATCACGACTTTTGTTTTAGCTTTCGTGAGAAAAAAATCAATATTCTCCGATCTGACAGTGTATAATTTATCCCAAACTCTTTGTTACCTGCCACAATGAAGCTGCCATAAAGGAATCAGTGATAATGTGAATGTGCTTAAATTCTTAGTACCTGTATAAAAAGGTAAAATCTACTCTGAAAAAAAGTCCCTAAAAATGAAACAAAACTATTTATTTTCCATGCTTAGAGTAAAGAGAAGTTAAATTTTTGGAATTCTGATTGGTGTAACCAATAAAACTGACTCAGATTAAAAGTGTCTGAACACATACTACAATGAATAAGTGCCAGACATATTATTTTGAATTGTGAATCACAAAAAGCAGAATAAACTTTTTTTTCTGTAAATATGACCTTATTCCCACTCCCACACTCGCCCTTTGAAATGGGAATTTCAGGAAGTATGCCATGGCTTTATGAATATTTGCAATCACTACTGGACCCTGTTTCAGTTGTAAATATAGTTCTCATAGCTACTATAGTGATACAATTTTAATACATGTGAAAATCTGTTAGTCGTTTTCTATGTTAAAATCCCAAAAGATTAAATCGAGGCTTGTTACATAAGTGAGATACAGTATAACAATGCACAATGTGCTGCAAATACAACTGAAGATGCTGCCATCAGTACTGAGTTCAATGTGTCAAGGCAGCTACCATAATATTCCCTAATAACACAGAGTAAGAGTGTCTACTCTTATAGTGGAAAATATGGTTTATTTGTCCCAAAAAAGACTACAATTAAAAAAAAAGAGCCGTGACTTATCCCTCTCTTGTAACAGTTAACTTTTTTTCAAGCGTTCAGTACTGAGTAGGTTTGGGTTTCATTGATATTTGAATACGATATAGACTTTATATGCAACATCCCTTGTGGTCCATCCTCATTTCCAAATTATTTATGATTACAGAGCAGACAATTTTGGTACTTTTGGCGCTCATAATGAAGCGATCGACACTGCTACATATTCATAGGAAACATTTTTCAGTTCATGAAAAAGGACATCTAACCCAGTTCTTGTTACTGCTGGCTTTGCTGTCTCATTTCAGTGCCCAATCGTCCAGATGTTTGGCAAGTAAAAACAGTCATAGACCGATATGCAAACATCCTTAAAAGGCAACATTTTTAGTTTTTGATGTGATTTAAAGAAAGCTGAAGTTATATTTTATGCTGACATTTTTGCATTATGTGTAAAATTCTTTACATCCCAAAAATATCTTTTATTCAACTTGTTCTAAGATTTCCTTGTAATGACTAGGGATGGGGGCCAGGACCACTGGTTAGAGACCAGTGAGCTGTGCATCCACCACCACCATAGGGAAAACCACTGCCAGCCCCATAAATCACATAAGTCAAATGAACACATAGGAGTAAAAAAATAAATAAATCACATGAGAGGGATTTGCTGGGCTTGTTCCAAGCTAAATGAGCTCTGCATTAATGGCCTGCATGAAGCAGCTACAGTGACTGGATGGCTCTTGGCTCTCATAACCCCCAGAAGTAGCACTAACAAGCCAAATCAAGTGCTGGTGGGGGCTGCTCAAACACACACACACACACACACACACACACACACACACACACACACACACACACACACTCACACACTCACACACCTTGCTTATGCCATACAGTATCTGGCAGTGTGTCTGTGGGCTGCCTCTGCAGGCCTCTTCTTGCTTACTGACAAACAACAACTGCTTCCTGGCTTTGTTGACAAATGTTCAGCTTGTTAAAGGGCATACACTCAAAGGCAAGGGCACAAGTGGTGGATGGCAGATGTGTTGGGCCTATATCTGAGCACACACACAGCCACACAAAACGCCGACATGCAGCCGCACAAATAAATACATGCACACAAGAGGCAAGAGCGTGCATACACACACATGTAACCAGGCATAATCACAGCGGCAGGTGTGCACACTAACACACACATATGCACACAGGTTAGCATCCATACACACACAGTCATGCAGGGAGTTTGTTAAATGCTGCAGTCACCCAGTGGATTAAATGTTGTCACTGACAGTCTCTTGTTTATCTGCCTGTCACATTTTTGGCATGCTCATTTTTCCCCTCTCCCCATCCTCCCTCTTCCTCGCCTTGCTTGTCTTTCCTCTCCCTCTTCTCCTTTCATGTCTTCTCATTTTGCTCTAGTCAATCATACCCGGCTTTTCTCTCTTGTCTCACTTCCCGCCCTGCTTCTCTCCAGCTTCATTTTGCTCTATGCGCCACAGGGGCAAGGAGAAGTGCGGCGGCACCAGTTGCCTTTTCATGCCTCACTGCACCGTCACGCCTCCTGTCTTGCTTCTTATTCATATCTCTGTCTGTCTGCCTGTGCATCTCCATGATTGTTTATTTACCTTCATCTTTGGCTGTCTCATTCTACATTTTGTCTGGCTTTTTCTGTCTGTGCCTTTTCTTATCACACATATTCCAGCAACTCTGTCTCTCTTATTTGTTAGCCCTGTGTTGACCATATTAGAGGTCCCAAAGTCTTAGGGCAACAGCAGCAACTGATTGTGCCTCTCACAGCTCAAGCTCAACAGCTTGTAGTATATAACAAAAGAAAGTCCACATATTTTGTGTACTATTGGTCTTGGGCTGTTTCCATGTTCTAACATTGTACCGACAGTTTAGGGAAAGAAAGAAAGGTCCATAAAGAAATGATTTTGCCAAATTGGTGTGGAAAAACTAGCCTTCAAGGAGCCCTGACCTTAACCTCATTGAACATATTTAGGATTAATTGGAACATCAGCTGCGAGAAAGGGCTTATGCTGACATCAATGGCCAACCTGTGGCTGAATGGGAGCAAATCCCTGCAGCCAGAGTGGAGGAATTTAAGCATCATATTAATGCCCATTGTTTTGTAATGAGATGTCCAACAACCACATGTAATTTTTTTGGGCCCACATACTTTTTTGACAAATTTCTTGCACATTTCAAGGTAACATTAGCATTAGCAGGGGTTTATGCTAAATCATTTGCAATTAACCCGGACATCAGTGATAGAGTTAGCAAACTAATATGACCAAAACCTAACTGTAGACTCTTGAGTACAGGCTAAACTTTACAGAGAAACACTAGTTCACTATCCATTCCCAGTTTGACTGACACAACTTTGGCTTCCACTTACAAGCTTTATGTTTTTCTTGCCAGAAGCCTGAACCTCCTTTATCTCTTTCAATCCTCGTTTTACTTGTTATCTATTGCCCTGGATTCTACACTCGTCTGATTGTACCTATCAATCTCCTCTCTCTTTGTGGCTATTCAAATTCTGGATGGCCTCTGAAACCCCAGAAGGCAAATATATTTACCAATTTGTTGCATGGCTGGAGTGACTGATAATTAATCATCGGTGTTGACAGTTGGTTCTGTGGTATTCACCGCAGGGCCTGTCAGAGCCTTCGCAACAGAACCATCCCACAACACAACATCCTCCGTACAGCAAAAAAGGAAACATTTCTAACTTCTGCTGAGAGGATAGGAAAATCATATTTTTTTGGTTCAGGATGTATTTCCCCAGGCTTTATTTTTACCTCAGCTGAACATGCCAGAGTGAAGTGGGTTTCATTACAAATGGCCATTTTCCTATGACCGTGTGTGCTGGCGTGTGACACACTGTGCCATTAGCTTGTTACACACAGATGAGTAACTTCTTGTGTAGCAAATGTGTTTTGGCAGGTGGGAAGAAAAAGGGTTATGGTAATGGTTATGGTTTCTGTGTGTGTGTTAATGCGTGACCCATGTTGCACTACCGGAGGCATTTGCACACCCGTTGAGCCGCTAGCTAAACACACCTGCACTCCCCCTCACAAACACATGCACCCACTTGCAGACACACACACTCATCACCATATGAAACTACATCACGCTCACCCTGCGAGCGTCTCCCAGCCCAATCGGTGACGACATTAGCAGCGGCGGTCCCATGCTGCAGGCCTGTAGGAAGTGATTAGCTGAGGAGCAGACAGGCCGTGAC